AAACATATAAGACCAAGTGGTAGCCCAACCATTTTGGGTACACGTTCTCAGGACCTCCTGAGTCTGTGCCACAGGAATGTATGTAACCTTGGCAAAATGAACTTCTGCAAGGATTGACACCTGTCTCAGACACTTTTTCGTTTACAGGTGTAATATCTGTGGGTATAGCAGAGTAGCATTCATGGCCTTGAACTGTGATTTGGTCCCACGTTCTGCCACATAGTGGAGGTTTCTGCCACCTGATGTAGCCAGAAGTTTCATTGCATCCATCCCTTAGAATATTTTATCTACCTGGTAGGAGCCCTCATGCAAGACATTTGGTAGACTGCCTAAGGGACAGAGAGCTAGGACTCCACTGAGCTTTCAAGAACAGGTTCCTGACTCTTTGATCCAGCTTGATGTTTTATGTGTGGTAGAGTTCATCTTGCTTGCATTGTAAGGCACCATCTATGGGCTGGGTTCGTGGGGAGCAGACCCGCAGCCCTCATTTGCCTCTAATTACTGGAGGCTATGAGAAAAACCCAACACTTATGAGCAGCCAAATAGGCTTACGTCAAATAAAGACATCAAATTAATGGCCTGCCATGCAAATTTCCCATCATTTCTGCCCAGTTGTAGACAGGTTCCCTTAGGGAGTATGTGCCATTACTCTGGCCTTAGAAACTATCACTCATCCCAGCTGGACACAAGCAGGGTGGCCACACTCAAGCCCCAGGCAGCACCTACCTTCTCCACACACATCCCTACACCTGTTTCAAGAGCACCACCATCTGATTTTTGTGTATTTATTTTATTCTCCTTTAACTTGAAAACAATTGAATCTTTCCTCACACCTTTATTGATGAATAATTGACAAAAATTATATATATTTACAGTGTATGACTTCTTAATATATTGAAATATGCATATATTGTGAAATAATCACCATAATCCAGTTAATGAACATATCTATTATTTCATATTGTTACCATGATTTTTTTCTTGTTCTGTTTTGGGAGGGGTGAGAGAACCAGATGTACAGTTCTTAGCAAATTTCAAGAATACAAATAGACATTTACAGAACTCTCCACCCCAAATCCACAGAATATACATTCTTCTCAGCACCACATCACACCTACTCTAAAATTGATCACATAATTGGAAGTAAATCACTCCTCAGCAAATGCAAAAGAACGGAAATCGTAACAAACAGTCTCTCAGACCACAGTGCAATCAAACTAGAACTCAGAATTCAAAAACTAACCCAGAACCTCACAGCTGCATGGAAACTGAACAACTCTCTTGAATGTTGACTGGATAAACAATGAAATGAAGGCAGAAATAAAGATGTTCTTCTAAACCAACGAGAATGAAGACACAACATACCAGAATCTCTGGGACACATTTAAAGCAGTCCCTAGAGGAAAATATATAGCAATAAGTGCCCACATGAGAAGCAAGGAGAGATAAAAAATTGACATCCTATCGTCAAAGTTGAAAGAGCTAGAGAAGCAAGATCAAAAAACTCAAAACCTAGCAGAAGACAAGAAATTGCTAAGATCAGAGCAGAACTGAAGGAGATAGAGACACAAAAAACCCTTCAAAAAATCAATAAATCCAGGAGCTGGTTTTTTGAAAAGATCAACAAAATAGACAGACCTCTAGCCAGATTAATAAAAAAGAAAAGAGAGAATAACCAAATTGATGCAATAAAAAACGATAAAGGGGATATCACCACAGATTCCACAGAAATTCAAACCATCATCAGAGATTATTACAAACAACTCTATGCACATAAACTCGTAAACCTGGAAGAAATGAATAAATTCCTAGACACTTGCCTCCTCCCAAGCCTCAACCAGGAAGAAGCCGAAACCCTGAACAGACCCATAACAAGGTCTGAAGTTGAGGCAGCAATTAAGAGCTTACCACCCAAAAGAAGCCCAGGTCCAGA